AGCCATTGAGTATAACTAATGAAGACTTTATACAAGCGCTTTCCAAAGTTCAACCTTCATCAAAACGTGAAGGATTTGCAACTGTACCAGATGTCACATGGGCAGATATTGGTGCATTGAAATTTGTAAGAGATGAATTAAGAATGGCTATTGTAGAACCAATTAAGCATCCAGAATATTTTCAACAAGTGGGAATAATGGTACCTACCGGAGTATTATTATGGGGCCCACCTGGATGTGGGAAAACTCTTTTGGCTAAGGCAGTTGCAAATGAAAGTCATATTAATTTTATATCTGTCAAAGGGCCAGAATTATTGAATAAGGTGTGTGCGCGCGTAATTTATTTATTATTTTAAATTTAAGAAACATCTTTTAAAAAAGATCCATCAATTGTATTTTTAGTATGTTGGTGAAAGCGAACGTGGAGTACGACAAGTTTTTGCTCGTGCAAGAGCCTCTTCACCATGTGTAATATTTTTTGATGAACTTGACGCATTGTGTGCACGCCGTGATGATTCTAAGGTATGTTTGATTTATAAACAAATAAATATTTATAATTATAAAGTTTATAAGTCAAATTTTTTTTTAATTATTAGTCAGAGGCTTCAGCACGTGTTGTTAATACTCTGTTAACTGAATTAGATGGTCTCGAAAATCGTAAACAAGTTTATGTAATAGCCGCAACAAACAGGCCAGGTAATGAATGATAATGATTTTAGATTGATGAATTTGTATAATCGATTTTTAAACATGGATTGATGATTATTATTTTTTTTTTGTTAAAAACAAAATAAAGATATTATTGATCCAGCTATGATTCGTCCTGGTCGCTTAGATAAACTTTTGTATGTGGAATTACCTACTTATTCAGAGCGTTATGAAATATTGAAAACCCTTACAAAAAAAACACCTTTGGATGATGATGTATCATTACTAGAAATTGCAAATGATGCACGATGTAACAATTTTAGGTATGTAATATAATATATATATATATATATATAATGCATAATTGTTTATTTTATTTTTAATGCTAATTGTTTATATTTTCATCGGTTTAAGTGGTGCGGATTTGGCATCGTTGGTTCGAGAAGCAGCTGTTTCAGCATTAAGAACAAATTTGTATAATAATTCAGAGAATTTATCAAAGGTTTCATCACAAGCCAATTTGGAAATTTATGTAAAAAATCAACATTTTGAAATAGCATACAATAAAGTAGTACCTAGCGTATCAAAAACTGATAAAAAGAAATATGATTCATTGAGGATCAAATTTGGATGTGTCGCAGCTACTACTATCACTACAATTTGTGATGCTATTTAACATTTGACTTGATTTTATATTTATTCTTTACATTAAAATAAATTTCAATCATATTTTAAATAATTACACCATCGGTGTGGTTTATTTTTAACTATGCATAATAAATAATAAGGCATCAAATCCTTTACGATATGCATCAATTAATCGCTTGGATACTTCTTTCTAAAATAGCTTTGGGACAGTTTTTTCTAAACACTTACTTTTTATCTATCTATATTGAAAATAAAACTTTATGATGCCTTGATGCCTTCTATGAAGTAATCAATTAAAAAAATGCAAAAGAAATAATTTTGTTTGAACGCATCTTGATTTTTTTTTTTTGGCCAATTTAAAAATGATTTTCATAGTAAATATATTCTAAATTTAGATAGTATTGGCATTTCCATTTCTAAATTGTCTTTCTGCTTGTCGCACCCCATATGTACTCAAAGAGAATAGAGAAAAAATCTTTAATTAATGGATAACTGGTAAATGCCCGATTGTTCATTGAACATCCAATATTTATTTTAAATAATAATAAATTCAATCAGGGAAAAAAATACTTCAACACTTTGCATTTTTTTTTGGCTTCACCGAGCAGACGTTCACTTGAAACAGAAGCTATGCTGCAACACATAAATGTTTTTTAACTAATAACAACAAAGTTGTATATTAGTTTTCATGGTTTATGATTCCTCCACCTAAAAATTTATTAAATCCTGCTTACTTGATCCAAGTCTAAAGATTGTTTATATGCTGATTGTTTATGCACGTTGACTCGATTGTATGTCTAATTCTTTGATTGTCTTTTTAGGAGGGGGAGCAGAGGATTGTTGATTTCGGAACATTTTTTTTTGAAACTCCTCTTGTAAATTGCATTCCATTGTTTTACCCTAGGATCTAGAACATATGCAATTAACTCTTCAGCGGTTGGATCTTTCTAATAACGATCACTCTTTCAATTCACTACTACTGCTTTATATATAGAAAAAGAATGTAGTTTGTATGAAGATGGTGATTGTGGAGGAGATAAAATAATATATTAAAAAAGTAATGAAAGTTCGATTAAACACCCGATTAATAATAATAATCGGCGAACGTTATTCGATACAACCACACTGTAATAAACCAATTAAATAAATAAAACAAACTTTGCTATTGTTAAATTATTTCTTTTGTTTGTTTATTAAAATAATTTATCACGAAATGTTTTTTTCTCGTATTATTAAAATAATAAATTGATCTTTTACAATAATGATTAATAATAAAGAGTAATTTTATCTGTTGATAAATCCTTGGAATGTTCTTTCGACTATATAATGAACATCTTTTCTCAGCAACCAAACATTTGCAGCTGAATGCGCTCTTATTGCTTTTTTCCAATTTTATATTTGCGTTAATAATAATAATAACAATCTAATTTGACCTTGTATTCTCAATTTTTATCAATTACTTGAAAAACTTCCAATTCATCATAATTATCACGAGGTTTTAATTTGATATTGTTATAATTGATTGATTTGCTACTAACCCTACAATCTACATAGAAGCAAAGATCGCTACCAAAAAAAGGTAGCAGCGTAGTAGGATGACACATAAATGTTTGAAATTCCTGACTATGATTAACAACATTGACAACATTACTAAATAGTGCAGTATTAATATCATTTCTATTACTTATATTAAATATAAAACTTCCATCTATTATTGTATATTTATTCCATTTAAGTGGATTATAGCCACCAATTATTTGATCAGAATTTTGTATTTTGGCAACTAGAAGAGTTTTTTCAATATTATCACATTTTTGATGAAATATAGTTGCATTTAAACCATCTCTGCTGCTACGATATATGAGTTTAAATTTGTACTTGACTGTTTTAAATGAATTGTATGGTGAGCTCTTTTTATCAATCCAACTTGCAAAAAGCAAAATATTGCTTTTATTGGTAATGATTGTTGAATCAACCATTGGAATTCTTAGTGGTAATAAATTCAAAGTTGTTTGTTCATCAGGATACAAATAATATTCCAAAAGATTATCTGACAAACTCTCAGGAATAAGTTTCTGATATTGTTTAATTTTAAAACGGAAATCCTTATTAGAGATGCTTTGGAATCTGATTAATAAAATCAATTCTTTTAATGTCTTTCCCAAATCAATGAAATTTTGTTTTGTCCATTGTTTAACATCATCATTGTTATTACTGATTTCTGGATGTCTTGCCAAACCCCATTTAAGAATTCCTTGCCAAACATCTATCTCATCAACACAGAAATCATCTCTTTCAATGATCTCCAATAAAAGTGACTTTTCCAATGAATTAAATCCACTTGACTCAAATAATTTTTCTCCATCAGCACAAATTTTTTCCACGCAGATATTTTTTAGTTTATCAAATCTTGTCATGTTAGTGTAGGTTAATTGTAGAACTTTGACAGTGTTATCATTTATATAGCCTTCATGACTTTCAATAAAATACTTTATTGTGCAATTGAAAAGTGCCTCAAGATCAAATTCATCTGCTGCAATTAATAAGCTCAATAAATCAGCACAAGTGTAATTGTTTAATTCCACTTTACATGTATATATATACCTTTTTTAAAGATAAATAAATAAAAATTATTGCACTGTATTAATAAAGTGGATGGATTAATTTATCAAATAAACTCACTTTAGAACAATTTTAAAAATAGATTCACTGATATTAGATTTGTTAATAACATAATAGCCGCCATGCTCTTTGCTCGCACTAGACAGAGCTTTTTCAAAAAATGGACACTGAGCACATAGGATTAACGAATGTGCATGAAAATCTATGACAAATTTTTCTTCTTGATGAAGGTGAATTACGACATCATATTTATTATTATTTGGTTCTAATAATCTTTCAAAATTTTTTAAATATTCTGTTAATAATGTTGTATCCATTTTTTTTTTTTGGAAATTCTATTTCTTCTGCCAAAGAGAAAAAATTTGAATGGTTCATTGAATAAGATTAGGATCGACGACAAAACAAAATCAGGAAAGTTCAGTGATTAAGCTGTCATGTAATGTGACTGTGATATTAATGGTTGTTGCATTGTTTCTTAAATAGGTTACTCTTACATAAAATCTAAACTCGATAAGTCGGACATTTATTTATATTATAAAGTACTTTAAACAATTGATTGCTGCGTCCGACTTATCGAGTTTAGATGTGTAGATATACAACTAGAAGATTTCAAGATTTTTGAATCAAAAAAAATTTCAACAATGTGTGGCATTCAACTCAAAGACTAACGAAGGAAAACCTGCACAGGAGATGAAAATTTGATTTTAAGGAATTCTACAACTTTGCAATTACATACAATCAATAGTGAGAAATTCAAATTTTTGGTTCGTTTTTGCATGGTTTTACTAATATTATTACTTGGATAATTTAAAAAAAATTTTTTAAGTGTAATAACTGCAATGAAAATCAAAGATTTTAAAACTGCTGCTTTCCTTTACGACAATCATCAATTTACTAACGAATTTTTTTTTTTGAAAGTTTGCCGTGTTTCTAAATTCTACAATCTACATGTCTTCATCTTTAAGCAAATTTTGAAATATTCAATGTACTCTTGCTAACTCTACTTTTGCTTTGCTTTTGCTCTTTTGCTCTTTTGCTCTGCTAGCTATTGCTGATCACTCTCCAAAAAATTTTTCTTCCTTTTATATAGTTGAAACTCTGATTGCCTAAATGTAAAAATTTTATATAAAAAAAAAATATGTTGTCAATATAATCATGATAACGAAAATTATTCGATCTTTAATTTATTTTGTCATAAATATGTGTCGCAAATACAATCTTTCATTTGGTGAGCAATATCATGTGATATGTCATTTTGTAAAAAAATAGTTTTTGGTGAAATAACTCATATTTAAAAAATTTAGAAAATGTATTAATAATAAATATTTCAACATAAACATAAAAAAAGATTACATTGTTGTCTTTAGATGATGTGGTGCATCATACTCTATATAAGTTATTATTTTAATTTTTATCAATTACTTGAAAAACTTCTAATTCATCAAATTTACTACCATTCACTATATTGATGCTATCATAAGTGCCTTGTCCATTATGAATATTACCATTCACTTCAAAAAAAAATTGCCACTCATTCCAACTACTACCAAAAATAGGTAAATGAGAAGAATTACAACCAATTGCACAATCATATTTATTATTAATAACATAACTATGCAGTGCAGTATTAGTATCATTCCTATTTCTTATATTAAAAATAAAACTTTCAGTTGTCAGTTTAAATAAAGCGGCTCCACTCCAATCAAGTGGGTTATAGCCACCAATTATTTGTTCCGAATCTTGTATTTTAGCAACTACAAGAGTTTTGTTAAAAGTGTCACATTTTTGATGAAATGAAGTCGCATCTAGGCCATCTCTACTACTACGATATATAAGCTTAAATTCATATTTAATATCACTGAATGAATGATATGGTGGACTTTTTTTATCAATCCAACTTGCAAAAAGCAATATAAGCCTTTTATTAATTCGACTAATTGTTATTGAATCAATTTTTAAAGCTCTTGGTGGTGATAAACATAAAGCTGCTCGATCATCAGGAAATAAATAATATTCTAAAAGTTTATTCCATAAATCCACAGGAATAAGTTTCTGATATGGTTTAATTTTATCACGAAAGTCCTTGTTAGAAATATCTTGGAATCTAATTGATAAGATTAATTCTTTTAATGTGTTTCCTAAATCAGTATAATTTTGGATTGACCAATTTTCAATATTGTTATTGCTGATTTCTGGATGTCTTGCTAATCCCCATTTAAGAATTCTTTGCCAAATTTCTATTTCATCAACATATAAATCATCTTTTCCAAGAACTGCCAATAAAATTGGTTCTTCAAATGAATCAAATTCTTTTGAATTAAAAAATTTTCCACTATCAATGCAAATTTTTTCTACACAGATATCTCTTAATTTATTAAATTTTTCTTTATTGGTGCAGATAAATCGCAGAATTTTAATTGTGTTATCATTTATATAGTCTTCATGATTTTCAATAAAATATTTCATTATATAATTAACAAGTGACTCAAGATCAAATTCATCTGCTGAAATTAACAAGTTCAATAAATCAACACAAGTATAATTGTTTAATTCTACTTTACACGTGTATATATACCTTTTAAAAACCAACAAATAAAAATTATTATACTGCACTAATAAAGTGAATAAATAATGTTTTTATTAATTTATTTATTAAATAAACTCACTTGAGAATATCTTTAAAAATAGGTTCGCTAATATTAGATTTATTAATAACATAATAGCCACTTTGATCTTCTTTGGTTGTACTTGACAAAACATTTTTAAAAAAGCCACTTTTATCTTCTTTGGTTGTATTTGACAAAACTTTTTTAAAAAATGGAGACTGGACACATAGGATTAATGAATGTGCATGAAATTCAGTGACAAGTTTTTCTTCATTATGAATAAAAATTTTGACATCATAGTTATTATTATCTGGTTCTAATAATTTTTCAAACCTTTCCAAATGTTCTATTAATGATGTTATATCCATTATGTAAACGTTCAAATGTTTAAACGGTCTATTTAAACGAACTAAGTAATTTAATTGTTGTAAAATTACGTTATCTTTATTAACTTAATACTATGTGATCGACATAGCACGTTTTCCGTACAACAGACTTTGAAGGAAGAATTGAATACAAGATTATAAATAAACAATTTTTATGCTTCTAAATAAATAGAATCTTGTGCTTTTGCTCGTTTAAATTCAATTTTTTACTTGTCAATAGCTTGTTTCGTTATAGCGCAATAACTTCCCAAAGAGACCCATACTTTTTGACTTTAAAGGCCTAATTATTTATGAAAAACGATTCTATTAAGATCATTTTAGCATCATAAGATAGAGTACATTGAGAGCTCTCAGAAAATATATGGTTCGTTTGGTTTTCTTGGAGGTGGAAGAAATTAAAGGCAAAAAACAATTTTATAAGTTATTTATGACTATTTTATATTAGTATTAAATTTTTTTTTAATTAGATCATTATACTAATTTTATTGAATTATCTAATTTAGATAGAATACATTGAAGTAATTAAAAGCAATAATTCAATGTAATTTTATTTTTGTTTTCTTTTTACATTATTATACCAATAATCCCTAACTTTAGTAGATGACCATGAATTATTTATTTTAAATAGATTTTCAAATAATCTTTTTGCTACTTCCTTTGGTAAGTCTGTAGGATGATCAAACACTTCTTGAAGAATTTCAAGTTCCTCATTTGTTTTTTTGTGTCTCTTATATTTTAGTGAAGAAGTTTCAACCTCATCAATTGGTGCAACTGTTATGTCTGAAACCAGAGTGGGTAAATTGTCTCCAACTTCTATCTCTTCGTTTGATTTACCTTTGTTGATTTCTTTGATGAGTTTATTATGTTCTTTAACTTTCACAAAAGCAACATCTTTACTTCGTCTACCAATAGTGGAACGTGGTATTTTTTTGTAAACTTCCTGATATAATAGATCATTAAGGCGTTTTAGGCCTTTTTCATAACATGTGAACATATTATTAAAGCCATCATCATTCATTTCTTTTGTATATTTAAAAAAATTATGTTCTTTAGGATCTGGAAGATCGAAGGCCTTGGTTAATTCATCAACAACAGACCATAAAACATCTCTTCGTTGTATTTTTGCTCTCTTTTGTGAATGGTGTTTTTTTGAATAAATTCTGAAATAAGTGGCTCCAGGCGTTCTTGTTCAGTTTGGACTGATTGAATTTGCAACATGAGATTATCAGAATCTGTAGGCCGACTGGTAAGATTTTGTTTTATGAACTTAACACCATAATATTCAAGTGCTTCATCAAAAGCAAAATAATGACCTTCTCTTGTTAAGTTTACTGAACATACATGTTTCAATAATTCTTTCTGTCCAATATTTCTTTGAACTGACTCTAGGAAAAACACAACTGATTGAGCATAGTTGGATTTCCCAGATATTGGAAATAGTGGAGCAAATGCAGCTAAATTATTTATTTGCATCTCAAAATTTCCCATATGTATCCCTAATTGATGGGCTTTCTAAAATCCAGATAAGTGGAAATACAATAACCATACTTTTAAAACATTATTATTTCCATTGGGAATATCACTGATTGTTATATTTTTACTCATCACATATTTATAAATAGATATTCCAACAGCAGCCCAAATAAGTTCCAAAACAGAACTTGTGGCTCTATAATCAACATTATCTACAAGTGCATCCAAAAAACGAACACCAAGTGCAGCAGCTATGTTGTAAAAACCATATCCACTAAAAGCAGTTATTAAAGCATTACACATGGCTTTGGACGTGTGCCACTGGCCTAAAATAAATCTACCAGTTAAGTTTTCATTGGAATAATTTCTTGTTCTCCTGAAGATTGATTCATCACAAACTAAGTCTATAACATTTTGTTTAAGATCATCAATATACATATCTATTGAATCAAAGACTGCTTTATCATTTTTAGGTGCTTCACCTGGCTTAAGAAACACAACATTTGGAGGTGGAATTTTGCAACCCAATTCAACTTTTGAGGCAATCTCTCTATGGATATCCTGAAAATCAAAATCATTTCCACGAGTTTTAAGAAAGTTTTGAAAAATCATACCAACTTTATTTTCCCACTCTTCAGTAAAAGTTGATGTTCCAAATAACTTCAGTTCCAAAGTATCTTGTTGGTAATTTTGCAAAAATGTAGCAACAGGTAAAGGAAGCTGAAATTGGAAGACCATTCTGAGAGTAGCATGTGCAGAGTTTCTGGTTGCATCATAAATATTACTATAACGAAAGGTAATATCTTTAAAATCAATGTTGTCAATAGCACATATATTCAAAGTATAAGGACTCTCAATAAGTTTTGATTCAGGTTTGGCATTTTTCATTCTGGTTTTTTGTAATTCTATTTCATAACCTTGTGAATAAGAAACAGCATGAACTCTATGAAGTATAGATTGTAGTGTTGTAATCATTTTTGGTCTACGACAAAGGGAAGCCATTACATGGGTAAACCAAATTTTCCATTTTGGAAAAGCCATTGTGAAGATAATTGAGACAAAAAAGGTTGTAATCTTCATAACTGATGAGGTATCAAAGATTTTTGACAATTTTCCATTCTGCCTTCTCTTTCTTTCATTGATCTGATGCTTTTTTTGTTTTATAGAACCAACTAGGCCATCAAAAAATTTGGTTAAAGTTTTTGGAAAAGCATCGTAATACTCATTCAAGTTGGTAGGATTCTCTAAGATATAAAGATTCTGCTCAAGTGCTTTACGTGAATTCAAAATGGAAATACCTAATTCCTCACCAAACTTTTTGTAGTCTTCAACTTTTGGATTTCTTTGTTCTGTTTGCAGGCTAGAGTCAAAGCTATTTAATTTCATGGCAGTTTTTATGAGTAAAGGATTAGGTATTATTTTAGATATATTATTATCAGTACTTTTTGTTGTTGTTTCTAATAGAGGTATTAAATACCATATTAACCTCTTTTTTTCATCATCATTTCCAGAATTAGCAACTTTTGAGATCCAATTTGCAAATAAATCTAATACCAAAGTTGCATCATCTTCATGCATTCCATTATTAACACATAATTTAGAATTGGATTTGTTTCCTGATCCTCCACGTATATGTAAATGTCCACCGCAAGACTCAAAACATTTTGTGCAAATATTACGTACACGTTGTTCATTTGAAGTATTGGAAGCAACATTATGAATTTCCATGAATGCTGAACAGGATTTTAGGCCAAGACATGGAACTTGTATATTTCTTCCAACAATATTCCAGGTATGTTGAGTACAATTATTACCTCTAGCAAAAAAATACTTGATTTTATTACACATGAGACATTTTTTTTTATGAATTTTACTATTATTAATATTTTTTTTTGTAGAATTAGGATTGTGAAGTTGTTTAAGATCAAAATTAAAATGGCTGGTACAAACTCCATATTCATATAAATCATAATCAGAACCTGCAGATACATCAACTTCCCATGTTCCAAAGAGCCGTGCTAATGGTACTAATTTTTCTGTTGAACAACATCGAGAAATCTTCCCTTCTGAGTTGTAATTATCAATTATAACACATGGTGATAGCTTTGTTGGATTAGCATCAGGTATAACAAAGTCTCCTTCGTCACCACTATTATTGAGTATATGAAAATCCTCATCACTTTCCCCTTCGCCATCTTGTATATCTTGAAGATTCTGTAAACCAAATATAGTTTTTGCAGTTTCCAGAGCTGATTCATCTAACACAAATACTCTAGAATCATCATCTTCATCACATTCATCCTCTGATCCCTTTTCTTTTTCAACTAAATTATAATTTACTTCTTCCATCAACTCAATTTCTTTCTCATCTAAATTTAAGTTTTCTTGAGTCAATTCCATTTTATTCTTATATGATTTTAATAACAAATTTACAGCAAGAGAGGTGGAGATGATTAAAATGTAAAGATTATGGATAAAAAATTATGGAAGATAGGTAATTAAAAAAAATATATGATTGCAAGAGATAAAATATTTATTTATTAATAATTATTATAATGAAATTACAATGATTAAAATGATTAAAAACAGATTTATAAGAATATTATTATATGATTATATCATATTTATATTTAAAATGACAATGTACTTAATTCCTTTATCTGCTAAAGAAAGACTTCATTAATAATCAATCATTAAAAATAATAATAAATAATAATAAATAATAATAAATAATAATAATAATAATAGCTTATATTTTCTTTCTTCTGCGATTGTCACTGTTATGTAGTAATTATAAATATTATATTACCTAGGGGTAAGTAAATAAGTGGGGGGGGGACAACTCGATGTTACACATATAGATTTTGTGAATCCAAAACTGTCACGCACTATGAAATTACTAGTATTTA